GACGCTCAAGGAACTGCTTGGCAAACTCCTTGGCCTCAGAAGTATCTCCCAAGTAGGCCTTGATATAATCATGGACCTCATACGGAGATTCTACTTCTTTCAGGAAAGAAACAAACGTGGGAACTGCAATATGGGAGGGGAGAAGACACAGAGTAACCGTGAAATAGTGAAGTACCACAGATGAAACACCTGTTTTCCATTTTTAATGTATTGTCACACCTACCACAGATGTTAACGACAGAACCTTGAGGGGTCTATGGCTATCGTGCTAAATATGCTTTAATCTATCCTGTAGAATGAAAAAATCACTATCATGATGGCCAAATTGATATGAAATAGTACAGCATAGAACAAAGACACATCATACATACTTAATTTCACTAAATGCCATTTTGGTTGAAATTAAACATTACGATAATTAAATTACATGCCAGAGACTGAATTCAGAGATTTCTTTCTTTCTTTCCTTAATATTTACTTAGTGCTATGACATGCGCCAGGCACCACAAAGGACACTAACAATACAGTGCTATACTCCTAGATCTTTCAATCCACTGAGAAAGAAACCAAATTCACGCAGTGTGGATAGGGGAGAAAGCGTAAGTACCAGGTAGACAGACATGGGTTGAAAAGCTGACTCTGAAATTTGCCGGCTGTGTGACCTTGAAGAGTTACTCAACCATCCTGAGCCTCTGTTTCCTAATTTATAAAACAGGGATAGCACCACCTACCTTGGATAAAACCACTGCACAGTAAGTAACTGGGATAGCATGCGTTAGCCCCAGAGTGCCTCGCACATGGTAGGTGCTTAATGGATGGTAGTGACTGCTGCCACTCCTAACTGCTGCCCCTGGACGTGCAGGCCACCAGGTGTCCCAGTGCTGCACAGGACTCTGAACGCCTTTACCGCTGTTTTCACCAACTCCTCTGCTTCAGACAGCAGAGCGGAGTGGTTCAGCTTAGTCTATCAGTGACGAGACTCCTGGTCTCTGTTCAAACACGTAGGGGTGAGAAAGAGAACTCACTTCCATCTAAGCTGGTAGTTCTTTGTGTAAACCACTACCTATGAGCATGTTTTTCTTCACGGGGGCCAAAACCTCTCACTTCTGTCCACTGCTCCTAGTGGGTTGTCGGGAAAGGCAAGACACATTTTTGCATGGACAAACAAAAAAAAAAGTCAAAACTTTCCCAACAACCTAACAGTTGACCCCACACACAGTCAACCTGCTCTATCATGACTCCATCCCTGCCCAAAGGTAGAAGGACAATGTCACAAAACCTCCGCCTGCTCCTGCTCAGGCTGACCGTTATCCCAACCAGGACAGTTACCGTCTTGTGACCTTGATACAACTGGCGATGTCCCCCATTCAGTGAGCTGTACGGAACGATGACTTCCTCTGCCCTGTACCTTAGTAAGGCAGCCCAAGACAGCAACCACCGAAAACATATTTGAATGCCGCAGGCTAGGACCTTTCTCATGAGACTATCATAGAGTCAGGTTCTTAGGACAGGCCCAGAACTTGGCCCCATAGATTGCATGTCCTGAGTTCTGGCCATTGCTCCTCTCTGCCAACGCCCGTGGGTCCTGCTCTGTCATTTCACATGCTGAGTTTCCCTCCCCAGTTCTTACCATCCAAGTTATTTGCCGTATTAAGGGCATGAAGCATCTGTTCACACCACTGGGTAAATCCATCTTGGGCTTTATTTACTCCCTGAAAGAGCTTCAGCAACTTTTCTTCTTCTTCTACTTTCTTATTCTGCCGGTTAGACACACCTACAGATTTACTAAAGCAAAACAACAGGGTGATATTATATTCCCGGAAACTGAACTATATGATTACACTATAATACCATAAATAGATAACGTCTTAGCAACACTGGATGCTATCCAGTAATCAAATGTTTGACTCCAAAAAAGAAAAAAATTCAAATATTTGGATTGGACACCCCCACTGAAGACCTACCCTCAGCTACAAGATCTAGTTTGTGAGAACAGGGCTACTATTTAGAGAAAATGGTAAAATTGCCCTATGTGTGCTTAGGCTAAGTTGTTAATTTTACTGAGCCTCAGTTTCCTCATCTATAAAACAACACTAGTCCCTCTTCAGGTTACTGTAAGGACTGAAGATACTACACAAAAGCCCAGAGCACGGTGCCCGGCAAAGATGCTCGACAGATAGATGTCGTCCTGTTGACAGAACGTAAGGCCCACAGGCGGGAAACGACCGACAACACCACCACAGATTAAGGAGTTACTATGTGCCAGGCACTTGAGCAGCTACTTCACGTGTACTGGCTTCGTCTCTACGGCTGACCCGTGAAGCTGTCATTATCTTCATTTTACCGATGAGGAAACTGAGGCCCAAAGAGGCTCCCTCTTGCCCAAGGTCACACAGCTAAAAGGGGCAGCGCTGGGATTTGAGCTCATACATTTAACCATGAAACCCATGCCCGTTCGACAACACTGCACACAGGAAAGAAAGATGAAGGCGAAATGTAACTAACTTATCATAAGAATACACAGGCTTGTACTTCTAACTCATCATAGTATAAGTGACTTCAGAGTATAAGTCTAGAAAGAAATGCTAAGATATCTAGAGAGCATCTTGGGAAAATGTTCAGTAACAAACCTGCTCTATAGCATTATGCTATTCCTAACATCTACTAAGTGGTCACTAGGTGAGAGGCACCAGGTTAAGTGCCCTGCAGTGAGAGGAGCCCCTAGGACTCCACGAACGTGTTCTGTGGGGAAGAAAGCCATCACCTAATTATGACTACGTGTGGCGGGACACAGATAACGGTAACTACCTACCTACCTCTCCCTGCCCTTCAACCTCCCGCTTCCCCCATTCCCATCTCCCAGCGAACCTAGGTGCACAATGTGATAATTTTGAGCCCTACCTGAGACTGGCGTTGTTTTTATTTTTATTTGACGAATTCCTAGGTCCCACTTCTTTCACTGCATCATCCCAGAATCCCATGTTGGAGTTTTTAGTGTCAGCATTACTCCAGATACTACTGACTAGGTCAGATGCCCACTGGTTAGGAGGGCCAGTATTTATAGAGCCCCAAACAGAAGTCCCAATGCTGGTGTGCAAGTTGGAATGCTGTTGGAGAAAGAGAAAAATGATCATGGCTGATAACATTAACAAGAGAGCCCACAGAGTCAGGAAAGACGGTGACACCAGCCTGACAGCGGCGGCATGGGCAAATGAACGCACCGTGTTACTCCGGGCTCTGTTTGGCTGCTGCTGCTGCTGCTGCTGCTGCTGCTGCTGCTGCTTCTGCATCTGCCTGGCCTCCTCCTGCTGGATCTCCAGAAGAGATTTCGTGGTACCTGCTGGTTTGCTGACGTTCCCCCAGCCTGTCAGTTTTTGCTGCTGCTGCTGCTGCTGCTGCTGCTGCAGAGCTTTCATCAGCTCCCTCTGCTGGCGCCTTTGCTATTGCACAGAAACAGAAGCCAGCTTAAGAGTCTTGCTTTGAAACAGCAGTTAGTAACATCCCATATGAGAAGAAGGCAAACATGCAGTAGCTATAGAAAATTGACAGGGTGAATTTTTTTTTTTTTTTAAATAGAGATTTTTGCTTTAGGACGCATGCGCTTGCCAGGAGAGACAGAAAGCAAGACATCACCCCAACCCGCTACCCCCGAGGGATGGTCACGCCGCAGTCCCTTCTCCATTCTCCTCTCAGAATTTTGGGCACGCAGGCACACACATGCGCCTGGCCTCAGTTTTAAGTCACCAGGTTCAGGACTCGAACCACAGTTGACTACGTGGAAGTCTAGCGACGTAACCATTATGCCATCTGCTGGTCCCCACAGGGTTAACTTTTTGCCACAAATAAAGATGTAAATTGCTCGAGATACTAAGAAGAGAACAAATGATCAAATGCAGAATTATTTCTCAAAAACTAAGTAGGCTTTTATATTAAGCATAGAAATAAAACACAAGTTTAATGCCTAAAGTTGTAGCAAAATCACAGGGAATACATATTTTTTTTTTGTTTGTTTTAGTGCCAGAGGGTACATGTGCTTGCCAGAGAGAGAGAAAGACAGAGAGTGAGAAAGCAAAATGGGACCCAATCCTTTTCCCTCCACTTCTCTGTCCCATCAGGATTTGGGGCATACACACATATGTACCCAGCATGTTTATCAAGCCTCTGTGGGATTTGAACCTGGCGGGCCTGAGATCCAGCTCCCTATGCACTGCACTTAATCGCTGCACTGTGAGGCCAGCCCAAGAGAACTAGATGTCTTCGTGCACTCTATATGGTAAATACGTATGCACAACTCTCACTTCTGCTATGTATCCATAGCTCTCGTCTTTCGATGAGCCACACAACCCAGACCGAAAACCAACCACTTACATTCCCTGGGAAACTCATCTGTCTCAGATCATATCCACATAAACCAGGTTGTTCATCACTTCACTATGTCACATTTCAGAGAGGCCTTCCCAAACCACACTACCTGCGCTGATTTGAATACGTCTCCAAAACTGCATGTGTTTAAAACAGGGTGCTATTCTGACAGTATTATAGGGTGGAAACTGAATTGAACTATGTTACTAGAAGGGGGGGCCTGGGGCCAACATGTGGCATGGGGGTTAGGGCATGGGATTCCCCACATGGTCAACCTCGATTCGAGTCCCAGGTCTGGTAACTTGCTTTTTCACTTTCCTGCTCTCTTTCTCTGGTCAAATTTTAAAATAATAATAATAGGGACTAGCAGTTGGCATAATGGCTATATCGCTGGACTCCCATGTAGTCGACCACGGTTTGAGTCCCGGACCCAGTGGCTTAAACTCATGCCAGGTGCGTGTGCGTGTGTGCCCATGATCCTGAGAGAAGAATGGAGAAGGGACTGTGGTGTGGCCATCCCCCCAGGGGGTGATTTCTCGCTCTCTCTTTCTCTGGGCGAGCACATGCGCCCTATAGCAAAAATCTCTCAAAAAATTTTTAAAATAATAATAATAAATAAAATTAAATCAAGAATTCTTAAACAAACAAACAAATAAACAAAGGTGAGACTGGGGTCAATAGGTGGTATGGTGGTTAAGACGCTGGACTTCCACATGGCCAATTGCAGTTTGAGCCTCGGACCCGGTGGCTTGAAAATCACACCAGCTACATATATGTGCATGCCCAGGATTCCAGGAGAAAAATGGAGAAGGGATTGTGGAGTGGCTATCCACTCTGGGGGGGTGACTTCTCACTTTGTCTCTCACTGTCTCTCTGTGGTGAGCACACACACTGTATCAAAAACGAAAATAAATAATCAGCAACACACCATCACCAATACTATTCTCCACACAAAACGCTCTTACTACCCCATGCCCTAATCACTCTTGTCACTAGCACTTACTATCCTCGAATATGCCATGTGTTACCCAATTTGATTGACTATCCATCTCTCTTCAACTAAACTGTGAGCTTCATGAGAACAGAACAGCTTGTCTGTTGTAGACTCAGCTGTATCCTCAAACTATAACTGAGTTAATAAGAGGGGAATGGTACTTAGTAAATAAGTAAGGACTTCAAAGAGTTGATGGAAATGGAATATAACTGAGTTTATTTTGGTAGAAAAGTGAAATCCATGTATAATTTTCCATAATACACATTGTCCAAGAGCTTCTTGGTGACACTCCCCACCCCGATATGCTCTGATGAGGCCTCTAATGGCATGCTGAGCCAAACCATGAGTTATTTTCTCCTGAGAAAGCTGTTACTCCTTCCCTCTCACTGCTTTCACTGCTGTGTCCTTCCTACTCTGATGACAACGCTAGACTTAAAAGCAGAGGTATTGCAGCTCTGTCACTACTGTAAGTTTTACAGGCTAGTCATAGAACCCAACACCCCTTAGAGAGAAAGATATGCTGTACTCTGAACACCGAATTTACCATGGGGTGTGTTTGCAGACCTCACCCACCATTCTATTTATGAGCCAGTCTCAAAGGCAATCGTAAAATGTTTAAGGAAATCAAACATTTACATTACCCAAATCTTAATGTTACTCCTGTCAGGCGCCTCATGTGCCCTCAGGTGACCAGAGTAGAAGCTACAGAGTTCACTAACAAGCCCCGACTCCGACCCACCGAGGTAACTGTGCTCGGTCCCTAGAGCGTATGACTAGAGCACTCGTACTTTAAAGCGCACCTCTTCTCGAAGCTGCCGTTCTCGCTCTTCTTCCAGCTTTTGGATCTCAGCCAAGGACAGCGTGGCCTGGGCCTGGCAGGCTGTCGTGCTGGACTGTTGGCCCCACGTTGAAGAAGAGGGAAGCTAAGGAAAAAAGGAAGGCAGAGAGTTCATGGGTAAGAAACGTAAGCAAAACCGCAGGCGGACAGCCAGGGCACCGGCGCTTCTCCCACTCCACTGACAACGTCCCGCCCATTCTCTGTCCTACACTCGCTGTAGGTTTGCCTCCTGTGCTAGAGTTTATGTCACTGCCCCAAACCTAAGTTTAAGAGAACCTAAAATACTCTTCCACTTGGATCTGATCTACCATTCAGAGACGGCAAATGCACTGCCCCTGCACCACCACCACACACGGTGACAAACGTCCACAAAGAGAAAGCAGTGCCTAAAAGCATCCCTGGATGGGCTGGAGGGCTACTCCCAGGGTTAAAACAACCAACAAAACAAAGCATGACTATTGGGGTCCTGGATAATCTTCTCAGAGCTTGATTATTACAAGAGAATCTCTTGCTTTTCTTGGCCAGAAAAAGATACACTTGAAACAAAAACAAAAACAAAAGCTTTTAAACAACTTTCAAAGTACATTTAATAAATACATAAGCACAGATTAAAACAAATAAAATGCCAGTCACAGAATAGAATGGATCTGCATCAGAAATCTCTTAAGAGTGAGTCTAACAGAAAAAGGGTATAACTGGTTCGAGTCCTGGACCCAGCACTGTCAAACAGCTCTCCAAATGCACGTCCTCAATACTGACAGATGTAACTGACCCTTGAACTGTTCTGGCCAGTATGACAGTCGTGGGGCATTTCTCTCAAAATGCATCTGTGCTGGGGTAGGGGAGGAGTTAAAGAGAAGCCAACTGAAACAAGGAGCGTGGGGCAGGGGCGGTGGGAGAAAGAAAGCAAAACTGAGCAAAAACTCATTCTTCTTTCCCATGAGAAGTGACACACATGGAAGGTGCTATTGAGATAGAGCAGACCTGGCAGCACCACCTGGGGAGACTATGAAAACATGCCGGACCTGGCTCTTCCACCTAAAGAACCAGAAGATCCGAAGGTGGGCGCTGGCAGGTGGCATAGTAGCTAAGGGCATTGGACTCCCACATGGCTGACTGTGGTTCAAGTCCTGGATCTGGAGGCTTGCTTTGTCACTTTCTCTCTCTCCCTGTCCTTCTCTGGTCAAATAAAGATAAAATACATAATAAAAATTAAATAAAATAATTCTTAAAAAGAAAATCATTGTCATTCTGATGTGGCCCATCTTCCAGCAACTACAGACAGTTGTAAAATCCTAGTGAATGTGTCACCATGTAGCCATCCCAAGCCCTCTTCAGGGGAACCTCAGCCAGAAGGCTGAGAGGATATATCAGGCAAACAGCAACCACAAGAAAGCAGGATTTGCTACACTGTTATCATACAAACTAGACTTTAAAATAAACACAATAAGGTGGACCACCTATACAGGGCATGTCCCTTGAATGGAGTCTGCAGGCCTGGAAGTTGCTGGGGGTTAGTCAGTGAGTTGAGTGGTGAGTGAATGTGAAGGTCTAGGAAATTGCTGCAGACTTTGTCAACCGTGTACACTTGGGCTACAATAAATTTACACACACACACAGAAAAAACACTTTTCTTTCTTCAGTAATAAATTAACCTTGGGGGAGCAGGTGGCATGGTGGTAAAGGTGCTAGACTCTCATATGGCCAGCTGACTGAGGTTCGAGTCCCAGACCCAGAAGCTGGAAGATCACACAGAGTGCATGTGCATGTGCGCCCAAATCTCAGAAGGAGAATGGTAGAGGACTGCATGGTGGCCACCTTCCCTGGGGGTGACTTCTCACTTTCCCTCTGCCTCTCTCCAGAAAGCATATGCACCCTATGGCAATAATAATAATAAATTAACCTTATTTTGTAAGCTTTTTAGTTTCTTAAAACTTTGATTCTTAGGGCCAGCAGGTGGCATGGTGGTTATGTCACTAGACTCCCACATGGCCGACTGCAGTTAAGTCCCAGACCTTGGGGGGAGATTTCTCACTTTCCCTATTACTATCTCTGTTTCTATCTCTCTCTCTCTTTCTCCCTGGCAAGAACACACACCCTAAAGCAAAAAGCCATTAAAAAAAAACTTTGATAATTTTGTAATAACACTTAGCTTAAGACACACTGCACTGCTATCATTTTCTTTCTTTGTATCTGTCCCTATTCTATAAACTTTTTGCTATTTTTTAAAATGAAAAAAAAATTGTTTTACCCTTTATACTTTTTTGTTAAAAACCAATAAACAGGGCCAGCTAGTGGCATAGTGGTTAAGGAGCCTGGATCCCACACGGCCAACTACACAGTCTTAACAGCAGCTGGAAAAACACACTAGGCACACGTGTGCATGCCCCAAACCCCAGGGGCAGGGAGAAGTGGAGAAGGGACTGCGGTGTGATCATCCCCCATTAGGGGATGCCATCTCACCTTTTCTCTGCCCCTCTCCTCTGGTGAGCATATAGCACCCTCTAACAAATTTAAAAAAAAGAAAGAAAGAAAGAGACGTTGGAGAGTGCTGTCCAGTAAGGTCTATGATCTGGGAGGCTGACCCACCTGGGGAGGTTCCAGGTCAGTATCCGAAGACCTCCCGGAGTACACGAGGCCCCCATGGCACGCTTGTGCCTACAACGTAGGGTTGGCTGAGGCTGGGGGTGAACCACAGCAGCAAGCACCTGCCGGGAGTGCACATATGCTCATGTATGCTCGCACTCTTTCATTCATGGAAGATATAAATAAACTTCACAAAATACCAATAACAAACAAAGAAAGAAGGGTCCAGGGTGTGCTTTCTCTGGCTCCCTCTCTCTGCCTCCCTGAACCTTTGGCAAGTGCATGTGCCCTCTGGCAATGACATAAGGGTGGAGGTGAAGAAATAGTAAAATTAGAGAAATAATTAATAAAATAGAAAATAGAAAAACAACAGAATGAAGTCAATAACTGGTATATTGAAAAGATAACTGACCTGGCTAGACTGACCAAGAAAAAAGACTCAGATCACTATAGTCAGAAATCAAAGAGGGGACGGGCGGTGGTACACCCGCAATGCCACTAGACCCCTGTGGGAAACTTCCTGGGTGCCCAAGACCTCCCTGAGCATGCAAGATACAAGTGAGCACACCTACAAGCTGGGCTGGCTGACACTGGAGGTGGTCACAGTGTGAAGACCCTGCTGGGTGTGGCTGCTTCAGCTATCTGTCTTTCATGGAAAATAAAAACCTCAAAAAATGGGCAAATTTCAAGAAAGAGACAAACTATCAAAACTAAGTCAAGAAAAAGACCATCTAAACATACTTGTAAGAAGACACCGAGGGCCAGCAGGTGGTGCGGAGGTTAAGGCAGCAGGGTCCCAGATGGCTGACTGCACAGTGTGAGTCCTACACCTGGCGGCCTAAAATGCACACCGTGTGCACGTGTAATGCATTCCCAAAATCCTAAAGGAAAACAGAAGGGACTGCGACACAGCCACCTCCCCTAGAGGGTGATTTTTCCCTTTCTCTTTCCCCATCTTTGGTTTGCACAAGCACCCTAAAACAAAAACTACAAATAGAAGAGACTGAACCGGTAATCCAAAAAGTGCATAAAGAACAGCTCAGGCCCTGATGGCTTCGCTCCTAAATTTTACCAAACGTGTAATCAGTATCGATTCCTTACAAACATTGAAACGATAGAAGGAACACCTCTGAACTCATTCTTTGAGGACATACATCGTACCTCCTGCTCAGGTAAACAGTACCCTGCTTTATAAATCCCCCAAAGGCCTGCTGTGGTTGAATGTGCCCCTGGAGGCTCATGTGTTGGGAATCCCCTCCTTCCGCCCAGTGAGTGGATTACTGGATTAATGACATTCCTGTGGGGGTGCTAAGAGGGCAGGGTACTGTAAAACCGAGCTCAGCCTGCTCTCGTGGCCTCTCCCGTGTGCACTTGCCCCTGGCTCCGTGACGCCTACTGCCCTGTCATGCTGCAGAAGGAAGGCCCTTACCAGATGCCAAGCAAATGTTAACACCATGCCCCTGGAAGTCCCAGCCTCTAGAACTATGAGAAATAAATTCCTTTTCTTTATAAATTACCCAGTATTGGGTGTTGTTACAGCAATGGAAAATAGACTAAGATTCTTACCACTGTGTTTTTTAACCTCATGTTTCTGATCACCCCTCTCCTAACCCCCATTCCCAAAACTGCCTCCTTAACTTTTTAGCAAGGTTTTCTATCACCAAAAACTCAGTTTGGATGTTACCCTTTTTTCAGGAAACCTTTCCAAACTACAAAGACGGACAAGTGGTTCTCACATTTTATTGAGCATTAGAATCCCCGGAAGGTTTATTTAACAGTTGCTGGGCTCCTCCCGCTCAGTATAACTGGGGTGGGGCCTGAGAAGTCACACGCCTAACAAGCTCCCAGGTGGCCATACTCTGAGACCTACTGTGTTAAGGCCACTTCTCCCAATATGCTCACCATACTGTATTCTAATTTCTTCTTTAAATGTCTTTACCCATAAACTCCTTGACACAGGAGACACTAACTGCTCATTGCAGATCCAGCATGAAGGTACGCAGAACCGGCCATAAATCTGCTCCTCCCTTCCTGACCACTCTAATCTCAACAGCTCCACTGTCTTCCCAGTCACAGAAGGCTTACTCTCTAACCCCCTGGCTTCTGCCTGTGTCTCTCAGATCCAGCCAGTCACTAAGTCTTGCTGACTGCCACCAGGCCAGTCCTCTTCCACTGGTCCTTTCTAGTCACCCTCACCACCCTCATACCGCCTTACTGGGCTCCTGGTCTTCACTTTCTCCTTGTTTCAAATAACACTGTGAATTCTCCTACAACACTTTGCACACATCGTCTCTTAATCCAGTTTTCAATGACCACCTCCTCCCCTGATGGCAAGCTGTTTCCAGCCCTATAGTCTGGCTCCATTTGCATATCCAAATGCTTATGCCTACCACCCTCAAAAGTCTGCTCTCTCACGGCAACTGCCGGCCTCACTTACCTTTGCCTCAGCAATGCGGCACTGGTACAGAACAAGCATACCACGGTTTACAGCGCGTCACATTCAACTTAGCAGCCAAACAGATGGACACGTCAACCACCCGCATCCTGCTCATGTCCTAGCCTCTTCTGTTTACTCCTCTCTCGATAAAAGCGCCTAACACGAAGTACATGAATTCTTACATTGTGTTGGAAACCAATAAATCTGAAGTAATAATATGCACTGTGAAAGAAAGTACGCTTTTCTTACTACTGGCCCTGCCAGCACCTCGCTACCCAGAAAATGCCGGCCAGTAGCCGTGTCTGCAGTCGAGGCTCTACCTTCATCTGCGCCAGCTGCTGGTGCT